TTGACTTGTTAGAAATAGTGGGAGAGTATTTAATAAAGACCTATTAGATACTTAATTCATGATAATAACTATCTTCGCAAAATTCTGTAGATGGCAAACAACAACACAAACAACCTCGCCCTGCGTTCCATTCTGGATAAAGATAAATTGAACGGAACAAACTTTGTTGACTGGCAACGCAATCTCTCCATTGTTCTCCGCATGGATGAGAAAGAGTATGTGCTCGAAAAGCCCATTCCTCCTGCCCCTCCCGCTAACGCCCCGAAAGCGGTCAAAGATGCCTACGAGAAACACGTTAAGGATGATAACCAGGTTAGCTGTGTCATGCTGGCAACCATGATAACCGAGCTGCAAAAACAGCACGAGGACATGAAGGCCCACGAGATGATCGTGGCCTTGCGGCAGCTATACCAGGGGCAATCCAGGCATGAACGTTTTCTCGTGAGTAAGGCTCTCTTTAGTTGCAAGCTCTCTTCAGGGAACCCGGTCAGTCCGCACATTCTCAAAATGATTGGTTACATAACCAATCTGGAGAAACTCGGGTTCTCCTTGCGGAAGGAGCTGGCAACGGACCTGATCCTGCAGTCGCTCCCTGAGCTGTATAAGGGTTTTGTCATGAACTACATGATGCATGATCTTGACAAACCCCTTCCGGAGCTTCTTAAAATGCTCCAGACTGCAGAGGAGAACCTTACTAAGGGCAAGGGTGCTTCCATCCTTATGGTCCAAGGCGGAAAGGGGAAGCCGAAGAACGGGATTAAGATTAAGGCTAGGACGGTCGGAAAGCCTAAATCGAAGTCCACTTCATCTGCAACCCAGAAACCCATAGGAGGAGTTGCAAAGGGCAAATGTCATCACTGTGGTAAGGCAGGCCACTGGAGAAGAAACTGCAAGACATACCTCGCAACCAAGAAGAAGGAAGGTACGACCATTTCTTCTGAGGTGTATGTGAAAAGGTAACCATGCAAGGATAGGCAGCGGAATATAAAAATTTTAACATCCTAACATGACTATCTTGCCCAGAATCACGTACTAAAACTTATAGTAGTAAGAAATTTGTACCTTTCTTCGTAAGCGGTAAAAACAAAGAAGTCGTAGGAAGAGCGTTGAAAGTGCAAACGTAACCGTTCAAGCGTCCGGTCTCCAACTTTGACACACGAACAACGCCGGAGTCTACCACAATCTTTATGCTAGTAAAGATTATAGTAGTATAAAATATAAAGATTAAAATTGGGATAATAATAATCTTGTATATTTCTTATAGAAAATATTTCTAATAATATTTAGAAAATATTATAGATATTTTCTATACACAAAATGATATTAATGGAAGACTTAAAATAATTTTCTCTCACTAGAATCTCAAATGGCCGAAAATCATAAAAGCTCTTTTAGCAAAATGGAGTGAATTGTTTAAATAAAACAAAGATGCTCCATTATTTTGTCATTAGCTAAATGACAAAATTAATTAGTCCACTAATTTATCAATCAAGCAAAACATTAGCAATTTGTCAATCCATTTTATCATATGGCCGAAAGTGTAGATTGTGAGAAGGATTTGTGAAATTCTTCTCCACTTAAATGTTCAAAGTGTATTTTATTTGACACCAAAAATTAATA